AAGAATCAATGGACAAGTATTTCCCAAACACAGAAGATAGGTAGAATGCAGTAGTCAAAATAGTCACTCAATTAAATTTCTTTTTTTTTCCATAATTTTATTGAGAAACAAATAGCAGTGAGACAGTTTCAAATCAAATTGGTAGGTCAGTTTCAATAATTAATACATTGCATACATTCTTCCTAGTGATTAATTGCTGTACAAGATGAGGACATGATATCCTACTTACAAACACCATTAGAACAAATCCCTGTATTCATTAAGAGAATGTAACTATATATCTATCCTAACACTCAGTTAAATTTCACTAATTTATTATGGGCTAGCTCCTGAGAAAACAGTGGTCCCTGACGAGTTTATGATCTGATTTGGGAAGAAAGGAACTGATGAACAAGAAAGAGAACAAAAGGGAATGAAGAAGGAGAAAGTAAGGGAGAGGAGAAGGCATTTTCTATCCATCACACTTGATACCTAGTTGGGGATAATTTTGCTTTCTTTCTCTCATTTTCAACTTTATACAATTTATATGGAAATGCACCCAATTCTTAGGCACACATTTCAGTGACTCTCCGCAAGGTGAACACATGACAAGAACACAGGAGTGGCTCCAGGGCCCACCAGGTGCTCTTTGCAGTCAGTCATCCTGCCCTAGACTTCTCTACCAACATTCTATCAGGTGTAGGAGGATACATGTACTCTCTGGTGTCTTCATGTTTTCATTATGTCTATAACATTTAGCCAAACTGTTGTATTCTACCACAGTTACATAAAAGGGAGAATGAGGCATATATATGTATATATAATTTCAAAAGTACAGGGCTGGTGAGATAGCTCAGTGGTCTAAAGCACCTACTTAGAACAAGCTTAGCAAAGCACAGGGACCACGGTTCAATCCCCCAGCACCACATGCCAGCCAGCCCCGCCCCCTGGTGGGCTGAGCTGGCCACACACACACACACACACACACACACACACACACATAAATAAAAAATTAAAAAAAAAAAAAGTACACGTAGGAAAAGAAAAACAGGCATAAAAATGTCTGCTGGGTATAGCAGCACACAAATGTAATCCCAGCACTCAGGAGACAGAGGCAGGAAGATTGCTATGAGCTTGAGACCAGCTGGGCTACAAAGTGAGTCAAGGCCAGCCCAAACTGTATTATGAAGCCCTGTCTTTTTTTTTTTTTTTTTGAACTGGGATTGAACTCAGACCCTTGCACTTGCCAGGGAAGTGCTTCTTCTACTGAGCCATCTTCCCAGCCCCGAAGCCCTGTCTTAAAAAGGCTAAAAATAAGTAAAAAATAATAATTATCTCTTCAGGTGCTCCTGGAGGCCATTTCTAGCTTGCGTGCTCATTCCCTAATTTGTAGATATATTTCGCTTCCTCACTGACATGAAAGCAGGTCAGAAGATGGTTAGGGGCGTATGGAACAGGAGTGCCCCAGCCCAGCAGGAACCAAGGCCCCTGAGTTGTCAGACCCAGATTCTGCCTCTTTCCTCAACACATGCAGTCCTCACTGGCAGAGATCCAGTCACACAGAGACACAGAAGTGGCTCTGTCACAATCGTCGACGCCAAGCTCTTGGCAGTCAGCGGAGGACTGCAATGCGTCTGCAGTGTGTATGAATGTGGGGACATGCTAGCCTCTTCCTCAAAAGCCTAGCTGGGATCGTAGTGTACACTGCTTTGTGGCTTTTCTTCAAATACAACGTCTTGCTATATTCCCGTGTCAGCGGGCCTTCTTTTCCTAAGTGTCAGAGGACAGAACCACGTTATCAACGTCCTGACAACAGAACCCTAACACACCATGCTTTGCTTTCCTGCTATCCTGACCTTTTAAGGCACTGTGGCTTAAGGCCCCAAAATGCTGTGGTTTCTTCTAAAGACAGACAGCAACTGAAAACTTTTATTATTTATAGTACATATTACAGAAAGCTAGAGTTACAGAAGTTTTCAAGCATCTAAAGATTCAAAGCAACTTTAAGCCCTTGTGAAGGTCAAGATACTGCTCTTCATTTCTCAAAGCAAAACAAAACCTGACCCCCACTGAACACAGTGGTGCATCTCAGCTACTGAGAAGCCAAGACAGAAGAGCTGAAACTTCCAGGGCAGTCTAGACAATTTAGAACTTGTTTCAAAATAAAATCGAAAGAATTAAAAAGAGCTGGGGGGCTGGTGAGATGGCTCAGTGGTCTAAAGCACCTACTTAGAACAAGCTAAGCTAAGCAAAGCACAGGGACTGCGGTTCGATGCCCCAGCACCACATGCCAGCCAGCCCTGCCCCCTGGTGGGCTGAGCTGGCCACACACACACACACACACACACACACACACACACACACAATAAACACTTTTTAAAAAATAAATAAATAAATAAAAAGAGCTGGGAATATAGTTCAATGATAAGAGTGCTTACCTAATATGTATGGTACTGGGTTCAATCCATACTTCTGAAAGGAGTTTAAAAGAAAAAGCCTGAACCCAATGAAGGAAAAGCTACATCTTTGGCATAAAAGGCAGTACCATTCAGTGTTCACCAGCACCTTTTTCCATTTTAAAACCAAGTATTGCTAGCTTCAGAAGTACATTTTGACTATGGAATTAAATCAGTAATGTTGCAAAAAGGGTTAAGAGCTTCGTAAGTGACACAGATGTAAGACTCATCTTCTTCTCCATTAATAATAATGGCAAACACATAATTACCAGGCACTTCTGTGTAGTCCGGCTCTAAGTCACCTGAGTGCCAAGAAATAATTCTTGGGGATGGGCAGGGGTGCTAACCCCTTTCACTGTGCTGCTGTAAAAAAAGATGATGGCATAGGTCTGCAATACCCAGTGCTTTCTGGCCTCCAAAGTCCCCAACTCAGGCCACTCCAGGCAGAAAGCAGACAGCCCTGCTGTGTGCCAGGCTGCTGTCACTGAAGCAGAATCCCGTCCCTCACATGGTGCTCCACACGTGGATACTGCTGAAAAGTGTAAGGGAGAGCTAACTGTCAAGCAATGCCTTTTTTAGGACTGAATACTTGCAGTGTGTGAATTTAAAGTCTGATATTCAGCTACATTAGTGTTCCGAGTTCTTCCAATTTGTTAACAATATATTTTTTTTTAGAACTGGGGATTGAACTCAGGCCCTTGCGCTTGGCAGGGAAGCACTTATTCTACTGAGCCATCTCCCCAGTCCCTGTTAACAATATTTTTACCATGCATACTGTGCAAGACATGAAATGAACAACTGTCACTGTTACTATTCAAAACATACACATTCAGCCTAAGAGAACTTGAAGACATTTATCCAATGTCTATTACCCAGAATCCTGTCTCCATCATTACCCAACTCCACTCTGTTGTATCTTAAGAATCATGCACAAGATACTGAATAAATTTTCCTGGGTGCCAGCACTTCACTGTACTGGTATAAAGTTTGCTGGTGCAAACTGCAGTTTAGAATACAAAAAGGCTTTGCCAGGACAGGCAGTTCTATTTGGGAGTGCGTGGGAGGCAGAGAAGAAAAAAAGTATCAGAGAAGACAAACTTCCAGGACTCTACGTAAATTGACCCAAAGTGAAAAAGAGTATGGGTGCCTAGAGGGGAGCGCCCTGTTCCAGCCGGAACACTTCATGGTCCTAGCCAGCTCACCTGCAGAACTAAAAACTGGGGCTCTTGGGTTCTGGTGCCAGGGCCTTATCTCAGGGCCTTGTGAGTGCTCAGCATATGTTCCAATTTCAAGTCACACCCTCAGCACATGCTCTAACACTGGGCAACACTCCTAATCCTCCTGTCTCCACTTTCTTGTTGTCAGAAGCCACTGCTATGTCTCAGCAGGTCCTAACAAGATGAAGTTCCCTGTTCCTGAAAAGCCATAAATTCAACTCTAATACAACACTGTTGTCTGGATATCTCCAAAGAAACTCATGTTGAAATTTGACCCTCACTGTGACATATTAAGAGGGTAAAAACTTAAATCTGTTATGATATTTGGGCTCTCTGGGAGGGTATTAGAGTCAATGAAGCCATAAGGGTGATACTAAAATCCAATG